TCATCCAACCCACACTTCCTGAGCTTACCTGTGGGGATGTGATGGGAAGACAGTGTCCAAAGCCTTGCTCAAGTCCAGGCAGACAACATCCACTGCTCTGCCCTCATCTACCCAGCCAGTCATCCCATCACAGAAGGCCAGCAGAGTGGTCAAGCATGATTTCCCTTCGGTGAATCCAGGCTGACTACTCCTGAGCACCTTCTTGTCCTCCACATGCTTAGTGAGGACCTCCAGGAGGAGCTGTCCCATCACCTTTCCAGGGATGGAGGGGAGGCTGACAGGCCTGGAGTTTCCTGGCTCCTCCTTCTGGCCCTTTTAGAAGGCTGGAGTGACACTGGCTTTCTTCCAGGCCTCAGGCACCTCTCCTGTTCTCCAGGACCTTTCCAAGATGATGGAGAGTGGCCTAGCAATAACATCCGCCAGCTCCCTCAGCACTCGCGGGTGCATCCCATCAGGGCCCGTGGATTTGTAGATGTCAGGTTTGGACAAATGATCTCTAACCCGATCCTCCTCGACCAAGGGAGAGTCTTCCTTCCTCCAGACTTCCTCTCTTGTCCCCAGGGTCTGGAATGCCTGAGGGCTGGCCTTAGCAGTAAGCACTTGCTACCCTTTGCAGCAGGTCTGTTAAGCCATTTTAATGCAGCTTCTAAAACTACCTTCATATGGAAAGCTATTTCTCAAATAGCGAATTCCCAAAGTTGCACCACCTGGCTGCAGCCAAGAAAGTAGCACAAAACAAATTCCAGCATTTAATCGCCGCCAGCAGCAGCACAGTAGGGTTTACTTGATAATTTCCCAGCTAACTACAAACAAGCAGCAACAGTGCCCACTGTAAATCTGGAAAGAGAACTGCAATTTAAACTGTATATAATCTCCCTCACCAACCCAGTTATCAACAGAAATCCATGAAAGGCTTTGATGGGCAAACTACAAATCAGCCTGCAGTATTTAAACAGGTTCTCCATGGGCCTCCATGCTTTTGAAAAACTTTGTGAGTTTTCTGGTAAAGATAGGGGCCATCACGGGCCTGAAATTTCAGAATCACTTTCAACCAGCAAAGTAAAATAAACAAAAGACTATTAGTCTTTTCTGCAACTCTAAAAAAAATGCAGAAATCGCAGGCCAGGGTCAGATCTAAGATTCAGTTAGAGCACAGTCACCGACAGAAGATTCAGAGTGAAATGAAAAAAGCACCATATGAGTCCTGGCCTCAAGGAAATCTTTCCTGCTAATCCCCAATTTTTAAAAGGGCAGGATAAGCCTTAAAGAAGGATGATTTATGTCACTTCCAAAAAACTCTTGAGCGATCATAGGTAGGGGTTTCCACAAAAATTCTGTATAGTTCTGACCATTAACATACGCTGTGTCTCTTCTTTGAGCCTGTCAGACTTAACGATATCTTGAGGCTAGAAATTCCAGTGGCTTAATTTTTTAAAAAGTCTAAGGAAGTCTGCATAAGAAAGACCAACATACTTTCAGTTCATAGTTTTCACGTAAGGCAGCTCAGTGCCAGGGGGACAGGAAGCAGTATTATGTTTGTATACATATGATATAATTGGTTTGTTGCATTCCAGTTTATTTTACCTTGTGCCCTACTTAAACAAAGTAGGACATTCAAGAGTCTTGGTAAACAAACCCGGCTAGATCAGCAATTGATGACATGTTGCAAACTTCAAAGAGGATCAAGAAAAGTAGCCAGTAAGGAAACTTCGATCACTATAATGAAGAGGAATTCTGGAAGTTACAAAATAGAAAACGCACCATTTCTCTTAAGTGAATAAATAGTCAACTACCAACAAGTTAAAATGCTCGTTTTGAGTAGCTGCACTGAACTAAATTGAGGGTACTGCTCTAGAAGTAAGAAAATTGATTAGACCTAGGAAGAAAAGTCCAGTTTGAGTTACTTGTCTAGCATCCTAGGGGCAGGGATCCAGTTCTCCAGATCATCAGTGAATTATCTTAGGCATGAGATCACCCGCTCTCTTCTTATAAACCCCTACCTCATTTATTTCAACATCTGCAGGAAATAAATTTGCGATCATGCAAACAGTCTCTTTGATTACACTGCCACAATGAATCCCTGGGCACCATCTGCCCTCCATGTTGAATGAGGCAAGGATCATGCAGACAACCAAATATGCAATCACGTAATTAACAACTCTAGCTGAAATACACATGCACAAAAGGCAAGTTAAGGACAAACGGACAGACTCTGAAGCAGGAAACAAGGGCCAGGGAGAAAACAGAGCCTGTTATGATATGAAAAACAGAATATCCCTTTCTCCATACACCTCCAGCTACCGACATGATGGAACCCAGCCCTAATAAAGCTGCTATTATTCTAAATCGGAATTCTTCGCTTGCTCATCGTCTTTCAGGAAGCAATAAATACAGCCATCCAGTGCCATTTCAGATGGGCTAGTGTACTGAGGCACTCTGCGGGGCTGGCAGGTCTGCATGTAACCATGTTCCTCCAGAAGCCAGCAGGATGTCTACAGTGGCAGTGGACGCCTATGTTTAAGTGACTTGAATGCCAGCTGATGTCCTTTACAGTGGGTTTAATCCAAATCACAGTTACTTAACCTTAATACAACTGACAATGAGCCCTTTGTGAGCTTGTACTACTTTAACCATGTAAGTGGAGCTTGGGTTAATCACACTAATACATTTGTCTAGCTAAAATCTCCCTGCAGCAGAGGAACCTAAAGATAGTACTAGGAGAAGCCACCCACAAAGGTCGTCAAAAGTCTCAAATAAAGTCCCGGAGAATGTTTAACTTCAAGTATCTTTAGTAAATAAAGCTGCGATGCCATAATGATCTCTCACATCACATAGCCACTATATGCTGTCCATCCCACAGAAGCCTAACAGCAAAATCCATATGTGATCAATCACATAATTAAGGACAATTTCATAAGCACACACAAAGAACTGAGTTAAAGTTCAGCTGGTGACAGGCCAACCCTTGATGGATTAAGAGGAACTAGCACCTCTAAGCAGATCCAGAAGGACATTTTAGTAGTATTACTACATATTGTTTTGTGTCTCCGACTCTGTGGTATTGCATTGCCTGTGGACTGTGAGATTCCCTGGGCTGAAACTTTTCCTTCCTAAAGGAACAGTAAACATCAAGCACATAATGCTGCTAGGAGAACATTAGCATAAATTATGTCTATTCATGTAGTATCACCAAAATTAACTAAGCTGACCAGACTGGTCAATGATATATTTCTTGATGTTTCATCGACAAATGTCCTGTTTGCAAATTGCCCTATTAACACCATACTAAACACAGTATCCTGAACAGATCACAGTTTAATTTGGTGATGTAATACAGAGAGACAGCTTTCTGCTAAGTTCCTAAATCTCACTTGAAATGTCCTAAATTTCACTTGAAAATTAACTCAGTTTTTTTCTCAGCCCACAAACGTTTAATTGTTAGGTGCAGTTCCAGACATTAAAAGTAACTATTGGACGTGGGCTTTTGTATTTA